ATAAGATCTAAGAAAGAGTTGAATAATATTTTCGTAGATTTAGTTTATGTACCTGGTTTTAACATTCTATTATTCCCTTCCACTATATTTAATTTAAGGTACCTTATAAAAGTTACTACATATTTACATATATCATTTAAATATTCTGTACTTACTATGCGAATGATTTTTACAGTGTAATTTCAACAAGGCCTTGCTTATCCTCACTGCCGGCTTTTGCGAACTGCGGAAATAAGTTCTTGCTCCTGTGGATTATGCAATTGTATTCAGATATTTGGATTTATTTATCTATTTTTTTTTGAAAACTGATTCTGTTGTCTAGTAAAATAGACATTACTTTGTTGTTTCATTCTAATACAAAGTTCCATTGAAGAGAAAACTGTACGCGCTTGGACAGTGCCTGATTTACAGTGGTGGGGGACCTGTAGGCTGAAAATTGGTGGGGGCCTATTCAAATTTTAAGAATAAAGAATTATATTTTTCAGAATAATTTTTCTTTCTTGTTCATGATGGGGAAAAATCTTAATAGAAAATTAGTTTTCATAAAAAAATTGTTTGTTAACATGGTGGGGGCCCCTAGTTGGTACATCAGCCTATAGGTGCGCTTAGACTACTGCAACTTCGTAAAATTAGGAACATTACAACCTTAATATTATTTTCAATTGTAAGGTATACATGCACACGTTAGTCTTGTGATTATTAGTAATCTAACTATTTCTCACTCAACGATAACACTTATGTTCTGAAGTTATTAATATACAGGGTCTTTCAGGATTAAGTCGACAAATTTTAAGGATATATTCCTCATAAAAAAATAAGAAAAAAAATTTTTTTCCAGAGACGCTTCATTTTCGAAATATAGGGCGTTAAAGATTAAAAAAAATCGTATTTTTTAAATAACTTCTAAATGAAGAAGGCTATTTAAGCCAAATTTGGCATGACACATCTTCTTATGAGATACCATTTTCCCATAGAAGTAGAAGTCCCCCAAGCAACTAGTGGCGGAGTTATGGGGACTCAGACTCATTAAATTATAAAAAAAATAATACGGCCCTACTGAAAATAAAAAATTATGCTGTTTTTAGGTAGAACAGTTTGTGGAGCTGGAGCGTTGCGCTATGAAAATAACATCACGCTGTTGTACTATCTAGCACTTCCCGTGCACCTAACCCCCTATGCTATAGGTCCCATAACGACTCGCACTTGTGATAGAAAATAGTATGTGCAACTCGTTCGGAAAAGTTGCCATAACGCCACTTGGGCGCTTTCCGTCAACTGCGTCCGCGTGGCGCTATTGGCAACTTTTCCCCACTCGTTACACAATGTACTATAGGAGATGCTTCGATTTTGAGATATAGGGATCTCTGGAAAAAAGTTATACTTGATTTTTTCTTATTTTTTTATGAGGAATATCTCCTTAAAGTTTATCGACTTAATCCTGAAACACCCTGTATATACTGTATATACACTTAATCTAGCCTTAGGCCCACCCTCATTTAGTACAATTATAGAATCATATTGACAGAAATATGTTTAGTTAACACGAAAATGTCCAACGAAAAAGCTGACGACGTAGATCCGCTTAGTGCTGAATTAAGATGCGACGGAAGTTTCAAAAATTTCACAAGAATGTCAAGTGCTGATTTTGAGTTGTTGATAAACAGAGTGGGTCATAAAATATGTAAAAAGAACACACATTTTGGAGACGCTATACCCGTGCGGGAAGGATTAGCTATCAAATTTAGATTTTTAGCTATAGGGAATTCTTATCACAGTTTGATGTACTAAATTTAAAGTATCCAAACAAATTATTTCTAAAATCGTCCCAGAAGTATGCGACGCGACGCTCTGATTGAAGAGAACATAATCTAGCCACACAAAGCAGGATTTTCCAACATTCTTTAATCTTTACCCCTCACTGACCAGTAACAAATAACTTTTACTTTTTATTGAAATTTCGCCAACCTGTTGAATAACTTTGTTGAGATAATATTATTTTGTAACACATCTGTACGCCAGGATAAAAGTGTATTAAGTCCACTTTTTCCGAAAATGGGAATTTTGCATGAATGCGCTAAGTATTAAGTCCACTTTAATATGCAAAACCATTTTAAGTGTCACCTATGATACCAAAGGAAATAGAATACTTATAACAGTATTAAGTCACATCATCTGCCGGGACAAAACAAAACTAAATTAGTGGAACACTTTTTAACTGGCGCATGCTGAAAATTTTAATATTAGTCTATAATTTTATCTAACAGTAGGACACTATTTTATTAAGTCCACTGTACTGGTAGTTACGCACGAAAAGTCAGCGAATGATTGCACTATTATAGAAGTGTTTTGTTTTCGGTGGTTTAAAATAAAATGTGTTATATTAAAAAAAATAAATACCTATTTTATAACATTATTTCTTTAATGTAACCTATTTGGCAATCGTTTATCGTTCATCAATTTAAATTCATCATAAACATAAGCTAAATTAATATCATTACTATCATTAACGCAAAAAAGCCGAAAACCGATAGGAGTTTTTATTATAATTATTAAGTCAGAAAACTTGCTCTTAACCTTCACTAAATCGTACTTTTTATCTCGGTGATCGACTTAATTTTATATTTCTGTAGAATTCAATGTGTATAACTTTAGTATTAAGTCCTTTTACTTTACCTAATGTTATAATAAAATGATATTCCAAAAAAAATTGTTAACTTCAAAAACAACGAAAAAAAATACTTAGTTTTTAAAACGCGTTTACTATTTATAAGATGATAGGGAATACTTGTGGTAGAAAAATAATTAATTCTGCAGTAATAAAAATCATATCGGAAATTGATTAAAATTACACAAAAAATTTTAAATTGGCTTTTCCCAAAAACTACTAATTTGGACTTTTACACTTTTATCCTGACGTACAGATATGAGGACGGGCCTTTACATGGACGGCTTTCTTTATCGTTTTTATGGCCTTATGATAATGTTATTTTTTGCTTTCAGAGGAGATAAAATAAATTTTATCCTTGATTGTCAACCCTATAATACTTGTATTTTTACAAATCATATGTTAATCAAGGAATGGTTGAAGGTTGCATTTCGATCAATCCGATTATCTTTCTTTCCATCAAAAGTATTAAAATTAGATCCTTTCACATAGCAACAATAATATTTAGAGTACTTTGATTTTCACTACCTTGCATTAATTTTTTAAAATTGTAAACATTGCATTGTACAGCGAGATGTAATTTTGTGAAAATTATAATTACTGTGCAAATAATTTGTTGCATTTTGTTAGTCATCAATAAATTGCATAGTTAAAGTACAGTGCCTTTATAAATGCCCAAGTACCACGTGACCAGATTTGTTTTGGCGCTCAGTAAATTTGATTTTCTTAAGTTGGTGTTTCAAAAAGGAAAAATTACCAACTAGGGCCCCTAGGTAAATTGTCAATCCAGAGGCGTTAATAATCTAATCCTAATATCGTATATGAAGTGTTCAAAAATCACAAATTAATCCTTACTAAAGGATATGAGGAGAAATATTGTATTTATAAGGGCAAGTCAACAGGCAGACGTACTGTTAACTGAAAATGTTGTTGAAGATATTCGACAACAAATTGTCTGAAGTCCTAAGAAACCTGTTTTGCAGTTATCTACTCAAACAGTTACCGCGATAAACTTAATATAGTTTGAATTATGTAAATTTGTTAATATAAAGCTGAAGTTAAAAAATTAATAAATTAAATAATTTTAAAAAAATTTTTAATATTACAATAATTTCTTTAGAATGTATTTTTTTATCAACGTATAAAATCTTACAGCTTTGCGTTGGTTAATTTCTGTATTTACAAGAAATAATTATACACATTATATTGATAATATGTCAAGAGAATATTTCTTTCAACGTAGCCCGTAGGTCTATCAGTTGGGACTTGTTACAGGGCATTAAACAAGCAGTTGCATAAGCATCCCTATAAGGTTTCTGTTGTACAAGAGTTACTTCCTCCTGATCACAACCAACGAGTACGAGGTTGTGGATGTTTTAATGAACACTTAAACGACGATAATTTCTTAGACATGACCTTTTAATCCGATGAGGCATTGGTAGACATTATCTGGTTATGTAAAGAGAATTACAGAACTTGGACTCCAGAAAATCCGCACAATTTTATTGAAAAAAGGTTAAATCTCAGAAGATAGGTATCAGTAGGAGTTTCAAGAAGACGTATAATAGACCCATTTTTTTTCGAGAAGTAATAAATGGAGAACGATACCGTAACATTTTACAAGCCCGGGAATTAATGCATGCCGATAAACGGTAGCATGGGTATTTTCAACAAGATGGGGCTACAGCACATACTGCTGTATCTATCTTCAGGTAAATATCTTTAGGAATTTCATGGTGATAGATTGGTTACTAGAGGTTTAAACATCCTCTCCACACTTGAAGAGCTGGAAGCAGCAATTGAACGTGTAATAAACATTATAACTCCGATTTAACTTGAACGCGTTTTTGAATACATGAAACGTAAATTTTTGTTTGGAAAATGAAGATGGTAATTTTGAATATCTATTATAAATTTGATTGATATAATATATGTTTGTTAGCTGAGTATTTAAATATTGGAAAAGATATTGAAAAAAATATATATTTTTAAAATGACAACTTCTTTCAATCAAAAAATACTTTTTTAATATAGAATGGGATAAAAGTTAGATATCTTAGACGAGTATGATTAATTCGTAAGTAAAAATATAAAAAATAATTATTTAATATTGAAAAAAGAAACACATTTTGCAAATTAAAGTTCAAGACATTGTAATATACACTCCACTGGACTCATTTTCTGACTTTAGGGAATTGTGTGATTATCATCGACTCCATTGTAAGTTTCGTTGCCTAAAAGTCGTGGTCACATGGGACGCGGACATTTCTGAAGGCACTGTACAAATAATTGTGTGCGTATGATAGAATAAAAATATATAAATGATATTTTTCAGAAACGCTTGTCCAGTTAAAGAAGAAGTGGTAGCACCATTTTGGGCGAATAATACTCGTGGAGAGACATTGGCACTTTTAAATATGTACCCATTTGAGCAGTACGTTCATTGGGAGAAATGTACATTTGAACTTCGTAAAATGTATTGCAGAGAAGGTTGTCGCTGCGAGCAGCAATACCGACTTCATAGGCTTTTAGCTTACGACCCGAATAACGAATGCAAAGGCATATTTTCAGACTGGTTTCGTTTTCCATCGTGTTGTATTTGCAAATGCTATGATTTAACTGTTGATTTTAGAGTTACTTCAAGAAGTCCTAGAATTCAAACATATGATTAACAAAATAAAATGTTTTGTTAATATTTAACCAAATGGATAAGTAGTTATATTTGTATTTATTATATTATATAATGTTTTATTTGCAGCTAAATTTTGTAAAATGACAGCACATTCTTCTAACCATTTTATAAAAAATGTTATTATGAGAATGATATTAGACATACAGGCTGTTAGAAATTCACTTCTCACTACAGAGATCTCGGAAATGATAAGAGATACGAAGTAGCTTAAATGGAGGTAAAGTAGCATAATCAAGGGACTAACATTATGCCTCTAAAAATCAAGGCTAACATGATTAGTTTTCGAAATATTTGAAAAATACCAAAATTTTGGAAATTCTTTTTTGTTTCATTTCAGCGTTGATTGAGGTGGTATTGAAAAAAGAAGAACACTTTTTCATGGCAACTTTTTGCCCTTTATCGAATGGCATAATCAATTTTATATGTAACGTTTCGTCTCTCCAGGACCATCATCAATTTTATATTTTTAAATACAACCCTCATACTGACCCCCAATATTGTACTGCCTCAGCTCGAACCAGATTCAGACGTTTGAAAATTCATCTTCAATGTATTCGTTCTAAATTTATCTAATTCTTTTTTAGATTTCTATGTTTCTTGAATTAACGTACAGGCTGGTCCATTTTCGATGGGATTTCAGGGTATCTCAGAAACTACTAAAGATATGATAAATCTGACACCACGTTCTCGAGCTCGATTTTCATGGCAAACTCGACTGTCAAATCAGAAATTTGCTATTTTCATTTGTTTCTGAGTTACAGGGCGTTTCTCGTTATTGTGACATTTTTGAACATGTCTGTATCTCAGCTGTTAAATAAGTTAGAGTTAAAGTGAAAACTGCTCAAGACTAATTCTTTGGCGTAAAATTGAATGCCGGTATTAGATTTTTGTTTTGCTTTTCAGCAATATACCACGTGCTATAGTTATTTTTCCAAACACAGAAGATATGGGGTGTTTTATATATAAATTCGATCCTTACAATATGGCTGGCTATGAAAATACATACAAAACTATAATTCTTACTTTTACAAAACTCATATCTGTTGTAAAAATATGACGTTTATTTAAAATATATATTACAGATAAGAAGAGACAGAGTTTTCAAATTTTTATTCCACTTTAACTAAAGTTAAAATATTAAACGTAAATTAAACAATAGTAAGTACCTACATCAATAAAAACTTTCAAAAATGATAGCTAAATGTTCAAATTGCCGTCCCTCAACTGTCACACATTTCACGCATCTTCTGGCAACGCTTCGGGTAGCATTCATTAAATGTATAGGTATTTGAAATATTATTAAAAGGAATTTTAAATATAATGTCTTTTAGAAAACCTCAAAGGAAAAAGTCCAACGGACTCAAATCAGGTAACCTAGCTGGCCATCTGATCGGTCCGTTTGTTCCTATCCACCTATCTCCTAAAATTTCGTTAGTATTATATTATCACACGAGTATATGTTGTGCATTTAAAATAAATGTCATATTTTTACAACAGATATGACTTTTGTAAAAGTAAGAATTATAGTTTTATCTGTATTTTCATAGCCGGTCATATTAAAAAGGAAAAAAATATATAATTTATATATGAAACACCCCGTATCTCCCGTGTTTGTAAAAATAACTATAGCATGTGATATATTGCTGAAAAGCGGAAAAAAATCTCTATTTTTTTAGGCTATGGTCAGCTACGATTTCCATTTAAAAAAATATAACTTTGGGTCATAACTCCGAAATCTTAAGATCTACTAAAAATCTAATACCGGCATTCAATTCTACGCCAAAGAATTAGTCTTGGGCAGTTTTCACTTTAACTCTAACTTATTTAACAGCTGAGATACAGACATGTTCAAAAGTGTCACAATAACGAGAAACGCCCTGTAACTCAGAAACAAATGAAGATAGCAAATTTCCGATCTGACAGTCGAGTTTGCCATGAAAATCGAGCTCGAGAACGTGGTGTCAGATTTATCATATCTTTAGTAGTTTCTGAAATACCCTGAATTCCCATCGAAAATGGACAAGCCTGTACACTCTAAAGGTTTGTTTTGGTTCTGTCAGCGGAGAGTCTTAGAACAGTTCAAAATAGTTACCTAAGTGTATTGTCAGTATGTCTTAGCTTAGATGTTCTTATGAATGGAATGATCAACTGATTTGAACCGTCCTAGAACCGTTCTCTGTCGGAACCAAAACAAAGCTTAAGTGTCGTTAGACTGCGAAATCTACCTAGTTATTTAAATAATTACCATCATACGTTACATTATTACCTAGAGTTTTAATCTCCATCACCTGGTCATAATAATTCGATAAATTATTGCGTCAAAATTAAAACATTACAGTCCTATTTTCAAATGAATATTATACTTTAAAAAATTACAGTAAATGTTCAAAAACGTTTCCGTTTTGGCAAATGTTGAAAGTGAAGATAAGGGTAATATGATCGGAATTTATTAGTCTGTAACCGCAACTGTGAAAGAGTATGTCTGATGTATTTGTATGAATATTCTGAAAAAAATTAGATCGAAATTTGTTTGAATTTTGAGCACTCGAGAAACCTAGAAATAACTATGGGCACGGGATTAAAACACTAATAATGTTTGTAACGTGTGATGGTAATAGTTGAAATAACTAAAAAAATAATTAGGTAAATTTGGAACGAATACATTGAAGATGAATTTTTCGAGACAAAACGTTTCAAAATCAGAATTTGGGCTGAGGGAGTATAGTATTGGGGGTCTTGAAGGCTTGCAAGAACTGTAATAAAATTTCCAGGGTCGTATTTAAAAAAATGAAGTTGATCATGGTCCTGGAGAGACGAAACGTTACATATAAAAATTGATTTTGCCATTCGATAGAGGGCAAAAAGTTGCCATGAGAAAGTGTTCTTCTTTTTTCAATATCACCTCAAATAAGACTGAAAGGAAACAAAAACGGATTTATAAAATTTCGGTTTTTTTCAAATATTTCGAAAACTAATAATGTTAGCCTGTCTAGAGGCATAATGTTGGTACCTTGATTATGCAATTTTGCCCCCATTTGAGGTAATTTGTATCTCTTACCGTTTCCGAGATCCCTGTAGTGAGAAGCGAATTTGTAACAGCCTGTATATTAGTTTCAAAATAGTACATACCTACTACAAGTATGTATAATTATTTTATAGAAAAATGTGTCTGTTATTTTAAAAGAACATCAATTTTCTTTTTGTAAGGCTAGTGTTTATACATTGAAATAATATGTGAATTTGAATATTATTTATTAGGTATGTAATAAAATATTGTAGATCTGGTTTGTATATATAAAAATAAAATTGTTGTATATTTTGATATAATTCACCTCATACCTGATAATTCAAATAGAACCTACTAAAACAAATATTTAACTCATATTGAAAATTTAAGGCATTCACAATATTGTCCACAGTTAAAACTGAGTTTAGACGTCATCGTCCGGAGAGAGTAGTCAGATTTAAAGAGAGATTACATTAGAATAACAGAAGTAAGAGGTATAATAAATACAGAGCCTTCATAAATGTTTACAAGCCCTGTGATCGTCGAGCATAGGCAACCAACAATTCACGGTTGGTAAGATCAAATAAAAATCCCTAAACCTCAGTGGAGTGGTTGAAGGGGTAATGTAATTAAATAAAATTGTTTTTAAAATTGATCGACATGAACTATTGATATTAAACTTAATACATATAATTTAGTACTAGATACTTCCGAAACATAGTTTTGTTTTTTCGTTGAAATGCTTTCAATTTTATTAAAAGGAGAAAACTATGAAATTAGTTAATGAAGAAATTGCAAATTTTTACTTTGAAATCAAAAAGAACATGATATGAACCTATAAAAGTGTATTATTATTTTAATTTAAGTATAGGGTAAAACAAACATAGATGGTTTATTTTTTATTATAAATAAAATAACATTACGAAAGAGTGAGCAATATAAAATAAATTCAAATTCATAAATTATATTTGCGATAAAAACATTACATGTTATGTTCGATATGATGTCCTTTTCACTAGCTATGCACAAATTTACTCTCCTGTGCATATTTTCATACACAATTTGCAGTTGCTGTACTGTAATATTGTTAATTGCTGCTTCTAATTCTTCAATGTTGTGCATTGCTTTACAAATATTATTTTTCAAATATCCAAACAGAAAATAATCTAAAGGAATTAGATCCGGTGACCTCGATGGTCACATCGATGGCTTAACTAATTAGACGAGTTTCATAAAACCCCTTCTAAAAATTGAATTGTAGCTCTTGCAGTATATGCGGTTGCTCCAACTCATCATTATATAACTCTGCTCAAATGGTTCTAAAATAAGGGTTCGAAATCTTTCAACATTTATAGTTTCATGGAAAATATAGGGCCGCCTATTATTATGCATTTTCTTGACATCGCTACCCAAACGCCTACTTTTAAGGGATGTAAACCGGTTTCTACAAATGTATGAGGATTTTCTGCGGCCCAAGTTCTATAATTTTGTCTATTTATGTTTATTTTATTTATTTATTTAATGAAGCAACTAGTTGCAAAAAAACGAACGAAATTAATTAACAAATACCTAGAGCAACAATTTCGCTGTCAATCGAATCCGCGTTTGGCACACATGTTGGTCTTTGGATTGACCGTCTTTTCCATAAATTTCATCAACATCGACCTTTATTTTACAGTTAACAAATTAGTGAAAAATGACTAGGTACTTACCTTAAATTGTGGTTAATTTAATTGCCTACAGCATAAAATAACTAATATTCCGATAGGTCGTCTAGATTTTCATTGACAGTAAAAAAAAGTGAAAAAACACGCTACTTATTTGCAATATGCTAACTTAGCATTACTTTTTTCGAGTTACTTTTTTGATATTATCATTCTACATACACTTCCTCGACATAAAGCGCAATAAAATGTCCACTAATAATTTTTTCGAGTTTCAGGTTAATCCGATTGGATTAAATAAGAATTGGG